TCACCCGGAAGTGGCGCGCAGAACCCCCGCCCGAGTTCTGTGGTCAGTATGCGAGGGCTACCGAGGAGTGAACGGCCTCGGCCAAAGAAGCTAGTTCGAATTGGGACTCTGAACGTAGGATCGCTAACTGGGAAGTCCCGAGAGGTTGCTGATCTGATGACGCGCAGGAATATCCAAGTCCTATGCCTTCAGGAGACGCGATGGAAAGGTGCTAAGGCCAGGGAAATCGGGGAAGGTGTCAAGCTCTACTACAATGGAGAAGACACCAAGCGGAACGGCGTGGCCATAGCGGTAGCGGAGTCGCTCAAGGACTATGTCTCCGCTGTGAACAGGATCAGCGATCGGATCATGGCTGTGAGGATGGACACGAAGGAGGGGTACTGGACAATACTCTCCGTGTACGCACCGCAAGCCGGGTGCCCCGAGAATGATAAGGGACGATTCTATATTGAGCCTGGGACGAGGCTATAAGATCGGTTCCGCATGGTGATTACTTCACCATAGCAGGTGACCTTAATGGTCACGTTGGCAGAGACAGAAGAGGCCTGGAAAGGGTGCATGAAGGTAGAGGTATGGGAGCGAGGAACGCTGAGGCGAGGGCAGTCAGGATCTAAGGCCATGACCCTGAGCTCGCAATATGTTTACGCAGTGGTTTTCCGGAAAGAAATGAGAATCTCAGAAAGTTGTGTAGTGCAGTAGGAGGAAGGAGACGGAAATTCGACCATGTGCTGGTAATGAAGTCTCCTTCAAAACTGTGTGAAGATAAAATTCGTAATGTGCTTAAAGGCAAAGTTCGGGCTCAGACCCACTTAATGAGCCTTTACGGTGGCTAGAAGCGCTAGGCACGCAAGTGTAGGGGTCGCGTCACTTCCCTACTTCGAAAACCGTTATTTAGACGCTAGGCTCTAAGAACTTTGACACGCTCCACCTGCTGCGACACGCTCCGCCCACCGCTCGATATCTTGACTGCGTCGGAATGTTGATCTGCTATGCTCTCTCTACTTAGACTTCTCTAGCGCTCTCGCGCTCACATTATCTCTCATCTCCCTGCCGGCCTTTTGAACTTCTCCGCACCGTAGAGGAAATGGCTCGTATTTCCTAAGCATTTCACGATTTCTTTTTCTCTTTTCTGCACTGGCGGTCCACTACCTACCCCTACTTTCACATTTAAGTGGAATTAACTCATAATTCAATCCTGAATCTTGCCTTTAAGAGTTGACGAGGCCCTTATGCGCGCACTGCTTCAACATTTTTTGTATTCTCTCATCAATAGGCTTTGATCCTTCAATGTTTTCATTATCAATAATCAAGAAATTGTTCTCTCCAATAATGTACATAGATCGCTGTAGAACAGAAACGAACGCCAAAAAATTAAGGAGAAGTAGACTGCTCCATGTGAAAGTGTGGTATTATATCATACCACACGATCGCTAACGTGGTGAAGTACTCCCCGGCGAAAGAACTGGCTCCCCAACACAGGCCCCTTCCGGCAGATATCACAATAAGCCTCAAGAGGGCTAGTAGGGGCTGAGCGGAGATTTGGTGGTTGGAAGCGTGGCACCGTATCGGAGGTAGGGCACCTCAAACGAAGGTACTGGAAAGCTGGTATGTTTTCTTCCCGGGATCAACTAGAACCAGGTCAGCTGACTGAGCATATATGCGCTAAAGGTATCCTGCAAATGAGTACAAAAGAGGTACAGGGCGAGATCACAGGGGTTGGGGCTAGAGAGACAAGTGCAGCCTGGTTTTGGAACGTGGAAGTGGCCAGCGATCTTTTGAAGACACGGAGCCCTGAAGACTTCGCTGCTTACAAGAGTTGCAAGAGGCTTGCCAAGACTATCGTCGCCAAGGCTAAGAACACAGAGATGGACGCCTTGTACGAGAAGCTGGAGAGCCAAAATGCGGAGAAGTTTGTCTACAGACTGGTCTAAAGCTCGGCACCGACCTACCCAGGATATAACGGTGATGAAGAGTGTATAGAACAACAACGGCATCATTCTGAGGAAGCCAGCTGAGGTCAAGAGGAGGTGGGAAAGAGTACTACAGTGCACTACTGAATGAGGAGTTGTGTGAGAGAGTACGGAAAAAAGATTTTTCGGAGAGGCACGGAATCAGATGGCTCACCCGATTCCTGAACACGGTAACTGCGGAAGGAAGGATGCCGGATGCCTGGAGAACAAGCACTATCGTCCCCATCTTCAAGCAGAAGGGTGACGCGATGGACTGCTCCAACTACCGCGGGATCAAGTTGACTGCGCATACCATGAAGCTGTACGAGCGGCTAGTCGACTCGAAGCTGAGGGAGCTGGTCCGATCTCCCAGGAGCAGTACGGGTTCATGCCTGGAAGATCTACAACGGATGCCATCTTCATCGCAAGGCAAGTGATGGAGAAGTATCGAGAGAAGCGCCGACCTTGCTACCTAGCCTTCCTCGACCTGGAGAAGGCGTTCGACCGGCTACCGCGAGCAGTGCTATGGAGGTCGCTCAGGGAACGAAACGTGCCAGAACACCTCATCTCTCTGGTGAGGGACATGTACGAAGGAGCAAGGCAACTATACGCACCCCGCACGGTCTGACAAAAGAGGTAGACGTCACGGTTGGGGTGCACCAAGGATCAGCTCTGAGCCCCTTCCTGTTCCTCCTAACGCTTTGATGCCATGGTGAAGGACTTATTGAGAAGACCGCTGGAAGACATCGCTCTACGGCTGATGATATAGCCCTGAATTGGCGGGAGAGCAAGAAGAACTTAGAGGCCAAGGTGCAGCAATGGCAGAAGTCCTGGCAGAAGGCGGGCTACGGCTGAATGTCAAGAAGACCAAGTTCCTGAGCTCCGAAGAGGGTGCAGAGCCGATCGTAGACGGCCATGGTGAGACCATCGAAAGAGTGGAGGACTTCCGCTACCTTGGGAGCGATCTGGCAGCTGATGGCAGTGTGGATCAGGCGGTGAAGGCTCGGTCAACGCAGCATGGATGAAATGGAGAGAATTCACAGGAATCCTCTGCGACCGAAGCTGTAGAACGCTCAAAGGGAAGGTGTACCGGACAGTGATAAGGCCTGCGATGCTATACGGCAGCGAGTGCTGGCCCCTGAACAAGGATCACGAAAGGCAGCTTCACTCCGCTGAGATGAGGATGCTGAGATGGGCCTGCGGCTGGACGCGGCTGGACAAGGTTAGAAACGAGGACGTCAGAGCGGTCATGAAGACTGCTCCTGTCCAGACTAAGGTGAGGGAACAACGACTGCGATGGTATGGGCACGTGCTGAGGAGGCCACAGGATCATCCGATAAGAACAGCAATGGACTTCGAAGCACAAGGCAAGCGGCCGCGAGGAGCTCCCAAAGGAGAGATGGAGAGACGTCATCAAGAAGCACCTCACTGAGGTGGGGTCACCAGCGGAAGATACCCTGGATAGAACAACATGGCGACGGCTGACAAGGACAGCGGACCCTCCGACTGCGCGGGACTAACGCAAGGCGGGTAGAAAAGAAGAAGATTAAAGGACGAATTCACGATCAGAGGGAAAATCGAATTAGGAAGAATTCACCTGGTTGAGGGACCCGCGGAGCTCCTAAGTGTGCGAACTGAAGCACAATTTGCACAGGAGGAGTTGACCTCGTTGACCTATTAAGGTTTAATCCCGCCGCGGCTGGTCAGTGCACGCCCACCGATCATCTGATCACTCGCCGCAGGTCTATACGTGGTGAGTGATTAGATAGGTGAGAGAGCGTAGTGTTGAAGAGGGCACAGCGATGATAGTCGCATCAATGCTCAAATCAACGGGCAAGGAAGGGGTCCCATTTCTCAGGTTCTGGGCCGTTTCTCATGGTTTTTCCTTCTTTAGTGTACCACTCACCATCGCTAACTTAATTTGAAATGGGTTGCCTTTCCAGCGTGAATTCGTCCTTTAAATTATCACATTATTGTTTTTATTGGGGCATAGCTTTGCTTGCATTAACACACATGAGATTGCAGCCGCATTTGTCTTGCTGGCACGCGAGCCGGCAATATAACACGGCGGAGTAAGTAATTTGTAAGTGAGTCAGGCAACCTCCCAGTGGTATGAGAAGAGCAAGAGATTCTTCTCAAAGAGAGTTCTATCGGAATTGTTTTATTCAGTTCACTTTTCATTCAGTCAAATCGGGTACCAATTCATTACCCCCCCCGCCACTACAGCCGGCGTTGTTGCTGATTAACGTGACATATTGCGTGCGGACATGCGGCAGGTACTTTTCGCATTTGCCACTCTGGGAGTCGTCGTACGGAGTTCAAGCACATCTCCCGGACACGATTTCTTTGCGGGTTGAGTTTCGCAAAGTATGAACACGTTCGTGGAGGGGTGCATGCGCGGGTGCGAATGTGTAGTTACCACGCCCACACAGCGCAATTGCAATCGCGAAGTTTGACATCTATTTTCCAAACTCTCATGAATGCGCTTCCTATCACCTCGGACACCACGCTCACCACCACGGCTGTTTCTACACTCTTTGGTTTCCGAAGGGGGGGGGGGGGGGACCTGTCGACACGCTCCCACTCCACCTAGCGCCTTCAGTGAGGGGTTGGGGGAGAGGGTATTAGTCTGAAGAAATGGCTAATCTTCCAATTTTGCCTATGCTTTAGCTTCTTTAGTGATTCCAAATTCTCGCCAAAAGCCAGAAAACATGAAAATCAACCGCCTTCACCCCTTCGTGAAGTCCAATTAGACCCTCCTCGAGAATTGCAAATACGTCCCTACCCCCTCCCTTCTGGGTCGGCTGGATACACGGTTGAACCTGTGGTGGGTAACTGATGCACAACGCACAGGCCGGGGCCTGGGTATAGGGTAGCAAACAATAACCCAGGAGAACACGAGGTTCTGGTCTGAGTCCGGCCAAGGTTTCGCCCATAACTCAGCATTCTCTTGAAAGGATTGTCTTATGCTACAATTCCTTTGTAACCTTCGCAAATTAGGTGCCGTGGATTGCCGGCGGATACGTTTCGAAATACTTCTACGACGGCTTCATGGGTTTGTGGTATGCTGGTATGGGAGATGATTTTGCAGCCCTCAGAGAAGAGTATCCTGAATACGAAGTTTGGGTGAGTGTTTAAAAGAAATCTGCAGCCCTTATGTAGCAATGATGAGGCGCTAGCACACATACTCTCTTCCTTTTGAATTTGGCGATTTTGTAAAACAGGTCAGTTACGATTTCTGGATTCAGGTGACCGGACACTCTCTTGGAGCAGCACTGGCTTCATTAGCCTCTTCTTTCATTATCGCTAGCAATCAAATATCACCTACTAGCGTGCGGTTGGTCACGTTCGGCCAGCCACGAGTTGGTGACTTCTTCTATGCATGGGCTCACGACCGACAGGTGCGTTGGACTGAATAATTTTCCGAGGGGATACATTCAATTCTGGTTCTATGAAGAAGCCACCCTCAACTAATTGCGGCTGAACTCTACTAATAATAAGGACTATTCATGCATCTCGGAAACTACCAAAATTCCGAGATCTTATTCTTCTTCTTATTGTTCCGTTGAACGCACAATGTGGCGGGGTCCGCTTTGCTGGTACGTTGACGCCACATCCCCCGATTCAAAGCTTGATCAAAGCTTCAAAGCTTCAGAGCTTGATGAAGGCCAACCACTTTCATGTCCTTTCGCAGCGTGTTAAGCCAACGCTGCTTCGGCCGTCTTTCTGTCCGTTTTCTGAGCAGCTGGAGATCAGGGGCGGTCTTATGGATGCTGTCGTCATTTGCGCGAAGACATGACCGTACCATCGAAGACGGGCTTCGCGCATCTTATCGGCAATGGAGCCACACCGAATCGCTCTCTGATGACATCGTTTCGAATGTGGTCTAGTCGTGTGACTCCGGCTGTCCAGCGCAGCATCTTGTCTCCATCACACTGAGACGGCTTCAACCTTCTTTAGTCGCAGGCCAGCACTCTGCACCGTAAATGGCGACTGGTCGGATGACGGTTCTGTAGATCTTAGATTTCAGTCGCTCTGGTATTTCTTATCGCAGAGAACGCCAGTCATCGAGCGCCATTTCGACCAGCTGCACTCACGCGAGAATTCGTTTCAGAGACCAGGCTGCCGTCAGACGCGATTGCTGATCCAAGATACTTGAATGATGTTGTACGTGTGAGCTCAGTACCATTGATCTTAATAGAGCCTGGACTCACTCGATCGGTGGTCAAGGTATTCGGTCTTCTTGACGCTCAGCCTGAGGGCGATGCGGCCCGCAGGGCTGCCCTTCTTTTTTTCGGATCGGAACCGGCTTTCAAACGATACCTGAAGTACCTTCCTCTCAAAAACGATCTGGTTGAGGAACTCCGTCAAGCCGTTCTGCAGGAGTCCAGCACTGTGACTTCCACAGATCGGCCGCCAAGTCGTCGGGACCCGTTGCTTTACCTGTCTTCATCTTCTTCAGAGCCGTTTCAGTTTCCTCCACAGTTATCTTCGAGACAGGGACCGTATACAGGCGGAGCACAAGGGATGGGGGATGGCAAATTCTTCTGTCGAGATGTTCTCGAAGTGGTCGTGCCACCGCTTGATTGCCCTCTTGTCCATAAGAAGGTGGCAATGCTCGTCAATAACGCCGAAAATTTCTCCAATGTCTTCAGTCTGGCGATGGCGAGACGGTAGGTATAGCCCGTCACCATAGCCCGTCACTAACTTCTTGCTGACATCGGCACAATGAGCGGCTCTCGCAGCAGCCACGACCTCTTTGCCGCATTCTTCGCTTCCTGATAACTCTGCCAGTTACAATCTGTCATTATCGAAAGAAATGCGTGGTACCGCTTCTTCTTCTCGCGCACTTTCTCTCTGACCTGGTCCGTCCACAGCCACGTTTGCTTGTCAATTCTCCGCCGTCCAGGCTTCGTCATCCCGAGCTCGGAACGAGCGATGAGGTATATTGTTCAGATAGCACCTTTCAAATTTCCTCAACAGTCGTGATCGACGGCAACGGAATGCGTGAAATCATCTCTTCCATCCGCCACCACTTGATTCTTGCAGACCCACCGTCCACTTGTTTCGGTTTGGAACGACGATGTTAAGCGTACAAAGTAGCGATCGATGCAGCGTTGCGACTTGCGATGACCTTTCATATGCCTTTCATATCGCGTCTTTGACGTTGTCCGACAAGAACAAAGTCGATTTGTGTTCTGGTATACCGCTATAGAAGGTGATGAGATGTGAGTCACGTTTTCGGAATTTCGTGTTCACAATGGCGAGGTTGTGCGAGTCTGCATACTCAAGAATTCGCTCGGTGTTACGTGACCCATATCCAAAACCACCATGACAGCTGTAACCGTCTTTCGTAGCGCCAACGTGCCCATTGAGGTCACCTGCGACAATTACAGCTTCTCTTGATAGTACCTCAACTGTCTTCTTGTCGACAGGGCCCAGAACTCGTTCTTGGCTCGCTTGGGGCAGCCTGTCTGCGTGTATACGCAGAAAAGAGGCGGTAACGTTGGTTTTTTGACTGTCACATCGATCTTGAAACGGTCGTCGAAGCGTTTAATGCTCACAAGATCCTCGGAAACGCCCAGAGACAATTATTGGAGCATAATATCGTAGCGTTTTTTTCAAGCGTATAAATTCAATCAGTACAAGTATCATCCGAAAAACGCTCACACCATTTGAAAGTACTCTTCCCGCTCTACAAAACCGTGGTTGTGATTTTCTTCAACATTGTAGCTGTACTCGGGTATTTTAGCTGTGCTCGGGTATAGAGCTTAGAAGTTGGAAAATCCAGACGGCGGAAATCAGCGTTTCGACAACTGCCCTGACCTTTTGCGAAATGCAATCAAAATTGTAAACAATGACAAAGTGGACATCGCTGATTAGTTTTATGTTTTTATTTTTTGCTTCAAATGTTTGTGTGAAGAAATGAAAAATGCAGTCGTCTACGCTCCAGCGCCGCTGCCAACTTGAAGGAACGGCTCGTTAACGCGCCAACATTCAGCGGTTGCAACGCGAATCTTCCATAGGGGACTTCTGGATTAACACGGTTGCCCTCCGATGCCATTTTTGCACCGAGGACCCTCGCATACTTTTCACATTGCGAGTGCGCGTCGGCTCCCGTAGCAGACTCGAGAAGATTGAACGTCATTCATCATTATGATTTTGGTAGGCTGTCACGAAGACCTGTCGTCCGCATTCGAATTTCTGCGATCAGTTTAGCCCA